CTCCAAATTTGGTAACTTTATGGGAGGGCGTCAGGTAGTCTGATTAATCATGATAAGAGCAGAGGTCTGTGACTAGGGAGTTGGGGTTCTCGGGGAGTGGAAGTTTTACTGTCGTGCCGTCGTTACGACCGTGAGCGGCGGCACCATTTTAGACACATTTTTTCTAAAAGTTTACCCCTGACGCTGGACATTGTCATTGGTAATGGTGACACTGTCCGACTAGATTGTATTTTTAATTTTTTACACACTATACGTCTTTTTAATTCTATATAAATGTTTTACCGACATCTATTTATTTTTAACTCGCTGTGTTTTTTTTTTTACATTTTACTTTAATCTACTCTCATTGCTTTTACCGGTTGTTTGGCGCAGATAGCCTAGCTGCTTTGCGCCATAAACACCAACCAAACAACCAATCGTATGGTACATCGCAACTCTATCGTGGTGAAACTATACCAAGAACCGTCAAAACTTGTGAAGAAATGGTAATTCCCTCAAAAGTCTAGTCCTGGCAAGGCTACGCATTGGTCATAGTTTTTTAACCCATCGTTTTCTTTTATCAGGTATTGACCCACCGATGTGTAGCCATTGTGACACTCAAGTCACAATAGCCCACCTTCCGATCCTTACGGAAGCAAGACGGCCAAAGACCAACAGAAGGTTTGATCTGGAAAAGCTTGTTATGGCGTTGCTCACTCCAAGTCGACTGCCAACTGGCACGAAGCCGCACCTTGAAGACAGTACCGTAGTCCATGTATGGGACAGGCACGGCCGTGATGGCACCAGAGTAGACGGACTTAGCTGCGGTGTCAGTGGACCAGCAGATTGACCCTAGGGGGGCCACCCCAAGGCCACCCGTCTTCAGTTGCTCCTCCCAAAGATCTGAGTTTTTATCATTAAAATGTCTAGAAACTTAGCATACAACTAATGGACATGATGTAGTGGCTGTTAACTCAAGTAGATGTAGTGGCTGTTAACTCAAGTAGTGTTGTACAACAAAGTTGCACTGTTGCATGAAGAACCAATGTGCAAATATATCATGCAGATTCTTGAATTTAATCATCCATTTCAGTGATAGATATGGATGGTCCACTTGACTGGGGAACTTTCTACCATAGATGTATTGGTGGTATTGTTTGACAAGTACTACAGCTGAAAGCATTTCACTTTTTATCATATAGTATAAGCATCCAGAGGTAATTAATGCTTATCTCACATATAAAATTGCACACACCATATGATTCTGAATTCGTAACAAAAACACTTCAATTACACTATCACTAGCCAGCTTTAATATCTAGAATTGATATAGTCCTGATAAAGATCATACAGCACTGGTGCTTTGACCAAAACAGACTTTAAGGATCAAAAGTTATATTTACACAGTAGCATACATTTTGAACAAAGTAGGGAAAGAGATGATCTTTAGTAAAGTCTACAACATTATCCATGGATTGATAAGATTACACACTCTGATTTCTTTGTGCAATATTTTGAAAGTAACAGAAATAGAGGACACAATTCTAAGATTTGAAAGAGACATATTTCTTCTAACATGGAGATTGACTTATGGAAAGATGTGTCATCACAGTAGTGGATGTCAGCACTTTACAAGAGTTTAAAATGAGAATTGGTAATTTCCTGAAAAATAAAGTTTAGGTTTTACTTTTTATTCTTAAAAGTTGATGTGTAAGGACAGCCTTGAATGAATAAATTATCCTTGTTATTTGTACACTGTTATGCATGGACAGGATTGATGGAGTAAATAATCCTCGCTATTTGTACACTGTTGTGCAGGGACAACCCTGAATGAACAATAGTCCTTGTTATTTATGTTGTTGTTGCACAGGGACAGCCATAAAAAACAAACAATCTTTTTTTTATCTTAATATTATGTTCTGTTAGTTTTGTAGAGACAGCCTTAAAGGAATAAATGGTCTTTTTTTTTATCTGCATTTTCTGTTGGATAGGACAACCTTCAAGAACAAATGGTTCTTGTTATTAGTATTTTATGTTAACTTTGATAGAAGAGTTATCACACAGGATCATGTATAAAATGTGCAATAATTTAAAAAAGACCCAAAACTCAAGCACATTTGAATAGTTTATTAACAGTCAATTATTCTAAAGAGCTCACATTTTGGATCTTTTTTTTAAATTCATTGTATGTTAGGCAGGGACAATCATGAAAAAACAAATGGTCCTTATTATATGAACCTTATTGTTTTCCTCTTTTAGGAGTGTGTTCATCTTGAATTAAAAGTATATTATGTATAAAATAAGTAAGTTTTTATGTTTTTTAACTAATGCATCTCTCGATCAACAATTATAAAAAAACATTATATTTTATGTAGCTTTTCTAATTTGTTAATACTGTTGCAATGTACAAATTTATTATAATCTAACAAAAATTTAATAATTTCAAAAATACTAGATTTTATATATATGTTTTAGTTAGATTTGTGCTGTCTCTTATCAACAAATTAATAATGTTTTTGTTCTTCCATTACAAAAGTTAAGCATCCTTACCCGGTCAATACGCAAGACAGATGCACCAAAATCACTAAGGACCATACCACAAAATGGAGCTGGAGCCAAGCCACTCAGTTCAATCACTTTAATCCCTCTCAGTGCCATAAAGATAGAACCTGAAAAAAAAAAAAAAACATTTCTAACATTCTTCTCCAAAGGTATATAGGGCAATAAGGGATATTTACTGAATATTAGTGCTTACTCAACAGCCAAACAGTCACATTTGTAAGTTCCATTTACGAGGAACAGTGTAACCCTAAACCTAATACATGTACTAGAAATTAGGATGCTACAAATAACGAAAACAAGATAACACACAAGTTGATTGATTAATTAATTTAACTAACAACTTCATTAATGTACAATAACTCTATTAGATTTAATTTTTTTATGCAAAGATTACAAAAATAATAAAACAATCTTAGTTATCAATAATATGTTTCATGTGTACTGCATAAAACCAATTAATTAATTTGGATACCTTAGCGTGGTGCGGCGGTTTGCGTACCTCTCTGACCCATCGAGCTATACGGGATGGTGTTCCCGCAAATACCAATAGAGCCACTCATATCCGGCAGGTCGATGGATAGAGGTCAGACCAACTCAGTCTCATCCCGCTGCCTTGCGGGTTAGGCTTTTTAGCCAAAGGCTTTGGCTGAGGACCCTAATTGTTCTTCTGTCTAGGCCTGGGCGACCTGGCAGTATCCCAGCCCACACACAATCATGAATTTCAGTTGGCAGGGTTAGACTCCCTGGATGGGGTCCGCGCGACGCTGCAGACCAATGGCTGTTAACGCTGCAGGATATGGCGAGAAACCGGGCTCAGTGGCGGTCGTGCTGTAGGCATCTTATTGGTTTGTCTGCCTAATCTTGTCTGTCTGCCAAGTCCACTGGCGAGCAAGGCATGTTATGATGCGTGGCAGTGAAAGCCGCAAGGAAGCTGTCACGCTGATGTCGCTGGACTCGCCCAGAGGACTTGTCCCGAGTGC